ACGCCTGTTTCCACCTCCCTTAGTGCTGGTTAAAGGTGTGTGACCCCAGATGCTACGGTCACCTTTGTTTCATCTGTTTCTTTTAGGACTGGTTCAATTTTGTGTAGTCAGTGTGGCCTTGAACTAACAGATCTGTCAATCTCTCAATCTTAAAGGTGTGTGACCCCAGATGCTACGGTCACCTTTGTTTCATCTGTTTACTTTAGGACTGGTTCAATTTTGTGTAGTCAGTGTGCCCTTGAACTACAGATCTGTCAATCTCTCAATCTGAGACCTGGGATTAAAAGTGTGTGCCACAACTGCCTTGCTTTGTGGCTGCTGGGATTAAAGGTGTGTGTTACCACTGCCTGACCTTTGTAACTTGTGGCTGACTTTGCCTTCTGAATACTCAGGCAAGCTTTATTAAATCATAAACATTATATCACCACCCTCCTCCCTCCCTCCCTCCCTCCCTCCATTCCTCCCTCCCTCCCTCTCCCTCCCTCCCTCCTCTCCCCCTTCCTTTTCCCCTCCCTTCCTCCATTCTATAAAGTTTCATTAAATAGTACAGGCTATGTCTCTGGATGAAAATCCTCCTGCCTTAGCCTTCTCAATGCTAGGATTATAGATGTGTGTTCTAGTAAGTGCTACCTGTCAGTTTTCTTTCTTGCTGGCCATACACTTCTTTCTTTCCTAACTTACTTGCTGCTTTAGGCTGGACATGCTCATTGCTTGTAGACAACTCTATTTTAAGTGTTTATGTTCACAAAGCAAACCATCTCTTCTTTCAAACTTGAAACTGGCTCTCTTTTACTTCCGCTTTGACATGAGTGTCTCTATTATTTTTTCCCCTGAGGGAAAAAGCTCCCTTGGCTATACTCTACAGCACTGACAAGCTCTGTGCACCCCTTTCATTTCCTCCTTCCCACCGTTACTAATCTGCAGATAGGCTTCTCGTTATTTCTTGTTTACACTGCTGTAGTAATCTTGATACAGAGTCTCCTGTTGGTGCAGCTCTGTCTGCAGTCCTGTTTCAACACTAGATCCATATTCCTATTATTTTCTTAAAAAAAACTTTTCTCTGTCTTTTTCTAGTTTTTAAAAAGTCAGATACCTTTTCTGGTGGAAAAGCATCAAGAGCTCTCTAAATCTTCCCAAACCAATGACAAAGCTCACTCAGGTGATCAAGAGGACTTCTCCACACACTAAACTACATCGACCGTTCCTTCAGGCTCCTGATTTGTGTTGTGCTCCCCAGTGTTCTCTGCCCTCCCCTGACCCTCGTGCTCCTGTGCTGTCCTGAGTGGAGCTGCCCACAGCTGTCTTCTCCTACTAAACTCTGAGCTATCCTTCAGGCGTATAGGCTTTGTCTTCCCCCTCCATCCTGGCCTGCTCTTCAGGCACACTGAGATCGCCACATGAGCCCCAAGCGATTTCATCTTCTGTTGAGGCACTACGCATATGTAACCCAAATTCCCATCTACAAGAAGCAGCTTCTCAGGTGTGGGGTGAGGAAGGCATGATCTGTGAGTATAGCAACATATCATTAGGATTCAGAAGGCATTTCATTTACATGTTACGTCCTTCCTAGAGAATTTCTTCCCTCCCTCCCTCCCTCCCTCCCTTCATTCCTCCCTTTTTCTTAATTTTGAGACAGGTCTCACAATGTAGCCCTGGCTGTCCTGGAACTCACTGTGTAGACTAGAATTTCCTTGAACTCACAGAGCTCTATTTGCCTGTCTCTTCCTCCTGAATGCTGAGATTAAAGGTATGCACAGCTATGCCAGGTTTTCAACAGCTTCTGGGAAAATAAGTGTAAACTGAAGTTCCCAGAACAAAGCCACTAGTGTGATATAGGGTCTTCAAATGTGAGGACAAGGATTTGACTCCTAGAACCCATGCCGGTCATGGTAGCTCTGCTTGTGATCTCAGCACTGGAGCAGCAGAGCCAGAAGGATCCCTGGGGTTCACTGGCCAGCTTGCCTGGTCTACCTGG